TTTGAAAAAACTGCTCACTACTCTGTGCAGATTCCTTCCCCACCACCCTGCAGGCCATATTTCTTGCCTTCCAATATTTCTTATTTAATGGATGAAATACAAAGTCTATATTAATTATCCTCTTAAGTTAAAGAAATACAAGCTACGATTTGTAGTAAACCTGAAATAATTGCGTATTACAACTCTTAGAATTTGGATGTTCATTTAGAAATACATTGCCTACTTGTATAAACCTGGTTGTGTGTCCAAAAAGATTTCTTTGCGTTCAAAAGTGTTATTCTATGGCTGTTGTAAATAATGAATATTAAAAACTAAAAGGGCAAAGTTTCATTATGGCATGTGATTTAGGATCATTTTTTTTTGTGAGATGCCTTTTGATTTCGTATGATGCATACTGTGTGTATCTATTTTATGAATAAGTTAAATTTTCCAACTTGCAATCAGCATTCAAAATCTATATATTCTTTTATAATTCTATGTTAAAATCATGATTGAAAAGTAAAACAGTTTGAGCAAACATTATCTTCAACAAGCTAAAAATTGTAGGCCATCAGGGAACTCCTTTTCTTCGAATGTGTATATGCAGAACACATATATACTACACTTCGGGATGTTTAGGAAGAAATATTTTCATTATTAGTATTTGCAGTAATATTTAAATATGGACCAATAAAATGTATTACCTAATAAAAGAAAGAACACGTTTTTGAAAATGATTTCACTTAAAAGTATGTCCTATTCCCAGAATTTAAGACTTTTTGAAATCAGGGAAATACATGAGATTCCATAAAATGACTTTAATTAATATCTAAGGAATTACTCTTAAGCAATGAAATAAAGCTCATTATGTTAATAATATTACTTAGCCTTGGGCCTTTTTTAAGATTTTGAACATTAGTATTTGCTGCAGTGATTCTAGTATAATAATTGGAAGCATTTTGTATTATAATTACAGAACTCCACTTACTTAGGAATTTTTACCTATGTGAGGTGAAGCGGATTTCTGTTCTCCATTACTCACAAAAATGTTAGTTTTTCTTTATTTGTAGATGCACATATACATATTTAAGATATGTATTACATATAGCTAGCTTAATGAGTTATGAATACCTTTATGGACATTGTAAAACAGGCTAGTCTCATTTATCTGTGACTGTAGTGTTTTACCTGTTTGAAAAAATGACCAGATGCCAGAAAGATGAGATATTCTACAACTGTCTTTTTTGGCACATTGTCAGTGTGCCATGTTTCTTATAAGAAAATTTTAAGTATCTGTATGTTATTTTTCCACTTTTTTTTTTTCTGATTGCTTTGGGATACAGATTTTTGTAATTGTCCTAGGTGACTTACTGATCTTGAGTTTAAAGATGGTACTTACAGCATGCTATGCATTAAAGAAGAAATATATCAAATAACCACTTATGAAGAAATGAATCAGTTGTGTGTTACAAAACTTTCACTTCTTGATCTAAAGTAATTAAGCTAATAATAAGAAGCTGAGTTTACGTCTAATACAGTAATGTGTAGTATATCAATAGCTATGTTTTTACTATCATTTTACAATTCTGTATTGTTGCTATAACTGGATCCCAAGCAGTGGCAGAACATCAGACAGAAAAATAATGCTTCTGGAGTCTTGTGACTAGACGCTGCTAGAAACCATGGTGAGAAATGTTGTTAAAAAGAAAAATCTCAAAAGGAACAAGAATATGTGGGCTGTGCATGTATGGTACATTTACCCACTAAAGCTTTTTCTTTAGAGTTCTTTTTAGGAAAATCCATGTTTCTGAAAGTCATAAACGGAAGGATCTCCTGGATATGGTTGTAGGTTGCCTGTTTGAAAGGCAACAGGATACTAATGAAATGAACACTTTTGATTTAGGAAATATTTGTTTTTACCCAATGCTTCAAAATATTTTTACATTTCTGCTGGACATTGCATATGAAAAAAAAAATGCAAGGGAAGGTTTGTATGGAGAATCAGTGTCTTTCAGTAGACCAATTTATAGTTGGAGAAAAAAAAGTTATCAAGAACACAATCTCCTCAGGTCCAGCAATAGAAAGCAGTAAATACCAAGGCAATATAGCTCAGGTATAATTGCTCTGAAGTTAATTATACTGATTGAGAAAACATTTTAGAGAAAAGGTAATAAGACTAAAAAGTTAAGCTTTCATTATTTTTGTTGCACAACAGATTAGTGTTTAGACTAACCAATATAAGCCAAATATAGAGAAATTGCTATATCACACAGTTTTCTGAGAAATGTATTTCTATGTTTATTCATTGTGTTTCCGGAATCCCACTGACATCAAAGGAGACTTGATGCTGTGTTGGGCATATGATTACAAGTCACCTTTGCTAAATAATACCTTTGTGAATGGCAGAGGTAGTGAACATGTGGGGTTCATCTCTGTCCTAGGGTCTTCCTTTGTTTTATCACTAATAATTTTATGTCCAACTACTTGTTCTTGGCAGTCCTGAGTATTAGCAGTTATGAACCAATTTCTTTGTCAAATAATGTTGCAACGCAGAATAAATATACAAGTATACTGCAGTTGCTCTTTCCTGATCTTTTATCTTGCTAAAAAGGCATTGGCTTTTTTTTTTTCCTAGCACATTAAATTTATTAGACACTAATTTCTTCAGAAGAGTTTACTAGATGAATGGAGATCAGGAAACCAGATATGAAAATAATGAATAGACTGAACTTAACGTTGTGGCTGTATTCTTTTTTAAATTTATTATTTCTGAGACATTCACTGCTGTTGCTCTTGTAACTGCTAAAATAAACAGGTTTTCCAAGCAAAATCTAGGCAAAGTTATCAGTTTGATAAAGGATATTTGGTTTTAAGTAAAGATCCTCAGTGTTTGGCATGGACTTGTTACCAGGGCTTTCACTGATCTACTGCTGTCAGAGAAGAGGATCTAAAGCATACAGCTGCTGTTTGTAAGCTTGCTCTGAGAAAACTAAGTTTAGGCACTGTACTAAAAGTGTAGCAATCTCCATTCTGGGAATTTTATTAGAAGAAAATATGTATAACATTGCATTGAAATCAGCTAAGCTGTTTAATATGATTAAAAGAGGATTTTCTGGGTCTCTGCAATAACAAAACAACAGCAAAGCTGCTACTAGAATGACTGAGAATGTTCATTCCTTCCCTTGTCCTTACACACTGGTGAAAGGCTTGAACCTCTCACTGTCGAACCTTTTTCTATTGATGTTGAAGAGTTTCTGCCTGCCCCAAATTCAACTTGAGAAAAGGTTGATTTATGGATTTGTTCTGGTCTCAGGAATGTCCTCTTTGAGCTGGACCACTGCCATCAATTCTAGAAAGGCCACAGTCAGCTGCCACACATCCTCTGCTCCTCTGCAGAGCACCCTGAGAGTATGTGCGTGGTAGCAAGGCTGACCTCCCCCATTGCTGAGTACTTTCAAGCTCTGATAATCACTTAGATTCCCTCTGGGAATTTTCTGTTTTCCTTTTTCTTGCAGGTGTCTTTAAGGAACAGAGTATTCTTCAGATGTCCTTTAGAGGCTGTGGCTATAAAGGGAGTTCAAGCATTTACCAATAGAAATAGCCTTCCTGGGTCGAAAATCTTAAAAACAAATGTGTGCTTATTTGGTGTTCTGGTGTTCAGTGGCTTCTGTTAAGCTTTGGTAGATTTTATAGTCTTTGGTCAATTTATTTGAAGGCTGGTGGCAGAATCATTTTAGTTTAGAAATAGAGCATAGATTTTACTTTTCCTTCATTGTTGCCAGACTTACCCTTACAGATCACAGATTCCCTAGTAAAGTTGCTGACATGGAGTCCAAAGCCTTTTTATATGGATTGACAGAGAAATGGAGCCTGGTGTTAAAACATTGGTTGGTTTGGGAAACAAAAATTGCAGTTATTGCATGGATTTGTTTGTTAATAGAGAAACTTTGCATGAATTTATAGATAGAAGGGATAGATGGGATGAGGATGAGGACTAATTAAGACTAAAATTGTTAACTCGTTCTTGGTAGAGTCTCAAAAAATTTCATGGAGTGTTGGCTGGAGAACCTTGGTTCTTCAGGAAAACATTTCTAGCAGAACTAAGGCTCTCTCTTTCCTCCAAAACCAAATCACTTTGGGCATAGCTGAGGAAACTGATTTGGTGATATTACATTTCATGAGTCAATAAATGTAGAGGTTAATTCATCTGCGCACTCTACTGCCATTGGCTTATCTCATGGGAACTGTTGAATGTGGTAGGTCTCATAATATTTCAACATCTGCTGTACAGTGTAATTATGGATGATTCTGTAGTTTTTTTTTTTTTTAGTTGTAGCTAATTGTAGCAATATTGTTGTTTGTTGTAATAGCCTGCTGACCTGATGCTTTCAAGAAAATACACTTAGGCTAAATTTATAAAATTAAAGCGGAAATGTGACGCAAAGTTAGCCGAACAGTGAGTTCTCTCTTTCAGAAGAATTGTATAGCACCAGTTACAAGTTGCAATCAAGTGCTTTTCCTTTGTAGATCAAAATTATTTCGGTGGAACTTCTTGGGGAGCAAACAAATAGGTGGCACTAAAATTCAAATAGCTCTTTAATTAACTGACATTATTATTTAAAAGATGACTTTGGGAGTACTGTAATTTGAAATCTTCGTATAGCCATCACTTTTCTTTATATATTTTTGTGGTTTCATGGTTTCATGAGTTTACAGATGCAGAAAATAAAGAGTTCAGGTAACAGACCACATCACTGTCATACACAAAGTCTTTGGAGCCTAGATGTATCTTCTGTGCTCACCTCAAAATATATATTGTTGCAAACATACCTCAAGAGTGTATTCAATTTAAATAATTTTCTAAGCAGAAACTTGAATACTTGTATAGAAATGATTTAAATAAATGGTAAAAAGCCTCTAAAATACACAGGAAACTCAAACAGTGAATGTGTTGTGTTGTTAAATTTGGTTATCCCAGGCCGATTAAGCAATATGCTCTTTCTTCTCTCCCTCCCTTGCAGCCTGTGCGTTCCGTTACAATGGGCTCTCCTTTGTCTACCTCATCTACCTCCTGCTCATTCCTCTCTTCTCAGAACCCACAAAAGCCACAATGCAAGGTAAGATGTTCCTTGGTTCATCCTGGAGGTGTAGAGGGACCTGCGAAAGCCTCACTGATAGAATGAGGTGACACAAGGGTGGTTGCATTGCTCTGTAGTACATACTCTTATTCTACTGGCCCTGTAGTTTATGCTGACTTTGGCGCTGAATGGCCTTCAACACCAGCTGCAGTCCTCGCCCCAAGGTGCACCTGAGCAGCCTGGTGATGGGATTGGTAGTGCTTTTTATGGCATTATTTTACTTGAAATTCTGAAGGATGGTACACTCGGTGAAAAATGACCTTTTCAAAAGCCCCCCAAAGCCAGCCTATCATAAACTGTGTGCTTGCTGACAAATAACTATAGCAAATGACAAATAACTATGACAAATAATTTGTGAAATGACAAATATCTATATACATTAGGTATTCAAGCATCAATATATCACATACAAATCAAACTTTTACTGTCTAAAATGTGAAATCAATTATGCAAAGCTGTAAAGACAGGAGAACTATTAGATACCTACTGTATGTAAGGGGCCATATATACGTTATACATTTAAGGGACTGACTTCTTGAAAATTAACAGAAATGGCAATATAATAGTATGAAAATTTCAGGATTTGTGATCTGTTGGTGGAATTTACAGTGAGAATATGATCATAGATTAATATTTAGTGGTGGTCTTTTTCACATAGCAGCCTTTTGGGTGGGATCTTATGTATTTGCCGATCTGGTTTGCTCAGATAACTGCATTTATAAAACAGTTCCTGTTTTCCCTATTCTCTTTTAGACCAGTATGAACAATAATATCACACAGTGCTAAAGTCAAATGGACATATTGCTCATCCTTTTTGATAGAAACAATGTGAAGAGTCTCTTTCAGAAAGTAAAATTCTTCTATGACACCAAAAACAAAAAGGAGACTTTTAAAATAGGTACTGAAATTATGTCTGGTACCTCGCTGGTAGAATCACCTTACTCACAAATCCACCAACATGGCTGATGGAAATTGAGACCTTTTTAATCAACATAGTTCTTTCCAGAAATGCTTTGGAAAAACTAGACCCTAAATATAACAACTTCTGAGTTTACAGGTTCTCTCTGAGATTTACCCAGATTGTTAGTGGGTTAGTGTTAAGAGTGGGATGCTGTCCTTAAATCTGGGGTTGCAGCTGGCATACCAGAAGGCTCCACCAGACCTTTATGGAGCTAATTTTCATGAGTTTACCTGGAAGTCAGTCCTCCATTCTGGTTTGGCTTCTTTGCTCTTGGCAAATTCCATTTGGCACATTTTGTGCTTTCCTGGGCAACATTACCCTGGGTTTACTTCTGCCAGGGTAGCATTTGGAAGTACCTCTCAATTCAAATATGTTCATGTTTCCTGAGAAGATCTTGTAAATATGCTAACTGATTCTTCTTCATTTGTATGCCCTTTATTGAAATACTAGACCAGAGAAATTGATATTTTTTCTTATCTAAAGAGGTCAGTGTGATTTGACCCAGCAACATGTTCATACCAAACAGGCAACTTTCAGCATGTTAAGTGATAAATAAGCTTTTGTTTTCAGGTAATTTTTGAACTGTTCTCCTTCTAAACATCCATTTAAGCATCTTGCTTACAAACATAGCCATTTGTCCGCTTCTGAAGAAAGAAAGAAATGTGTCAAGCTTTCTTTGAATTCCTCAAGAATAATTGTTGGGATGTCTCAAGTTTTGTGTTAGGGTGATTCCACAGGCCATCCTTCTTTTTTTCTCATTAATGGAGACAATGAAGAGAGAAAGCAAAAGTTTCAAGAGTATCTGAAGAACTGTTTGTTAATATATGGCACACAGTGACAATGCTGATCTTTATTTTTACATGTAGAATTATAACTTTTGTTTTATCTGTTCTAACTAATATTTCTCAACTAACATTAGTTTGAGGAGGAAGGAAATAAAACTAAAGAAAAGCCTTGTGTTTCATTTATTGGTGTATCTAGCTTCAGTGGGTGCAGTTTCTTACCCACTCTGTGTATAGGGAATACCACATAAGGAAGAGAGCTTTCCCCTAAAGGAAAAGAGGAGAGACAAGTTGGAGTTAGATTTGTGTTCTGGAAATTATATCCTGACCTATTCTCATTATAATGCCTCACTCATTTTTATTTTAGCTCCCGTAAATGCTGATCCCTTTGAAAATCCTTGAAGTGACTTACCAAAATGATATCGTGCCACAGTACATCCCTCAGGCTAGGTCCTTTTAGAAGAGGGAGTGTATCAAATGAATGTTTTGCATTCCTATTTTGGTTTTACTTTACAATTATTTATTGTAATTGTGTCAGTAGCATCAACTGACCAAGACACCTATTACTTTTCATGGTATATATACGGTCTCTACACCTGGGCTAAAGGCAAAGAAGTGTAAAGAATTGAACAAGGATGGTGTTATTACAAAATATTACTCATAAACAGGTACAGATAATAAATAGCTAAAAGTCAGATATCCAAACATTTCCTGGAGTGGACCTGAGCTAGGCCAAGTTTGGGGCCTTGAAGAATTGCATTTTGAAATGTCTTGGCAGAGTTGTGAAACAAGGCCAAGTATCAGATTAGAACTGGATTTATTTTGAGATCTGGCCATTAAGTAGGCTTCAAATTTGTCACCTCTTTAACTGAGGCAGAAGCCATCTTCATGGTACAGAACTGGGAGAGATCTGCCTAACAACTGCATTTCGTTCCCTTAACTGTGTATTTTCTATCGTGTCCCTCCATGCTCTTCTAATTTCCCACACCCTTTGCCACCCAATTTCTAGCAGTCGAAGAAACATTTCGTCTCTTGGCAAGGACTCATAGCAAGTGGGTGGGCTTAGTTTATGTTGATGGGTAAGTACCCACCAAAGCCAGTAAAAACAGAGCTAAAAGATGAATAAAATAAGCATAAAAGGTAGCATAAAATCTCACTCTAGGTAAGGTTGTCAGTCATTTAATTACAGTGACAGTGCAAGGATGAAACATAAATAAGTGCCCTGCTGGAAGCTAGGTTCTCTTACAAGTGTTGAAGGTGACAGATTAGAGGGAAGCACTGAGCTTCAAAGAGGAAATCGGGTGCAGCTTCCCAGCTAATATTCAGTTACTATGTTGATCTTGCGTGTTTTACGTTTGCTGCTCGTTCTGTGCCAGGAAGAATGATTGACAGCATAAATAGAGCCATTTTCTAGATGCCAAGAGTGATTGTGGAGGGACACCCTAATCCTCTCCTTCCAAAGACTAAGAAAAAAAATAAATATATTTGATTAAAAGTAATTCCTGTGTGATTTGATAGACATCCAAAAGCCTGGTTTGTGGCACTGATGGCAGATATCTTTCTTTAGAGGAGAATCCTTTTTTAGAATGTTTTCAGTCTCAACATATTTTCTCATATTGCATATTATGAAGTGTTCACAAAAAATAACTTTGTTATATATTTTCCGTATGCCTGCATGTAAACATTTTGGCCCCATATTTCTGTCACCTTTTAAACTATGTGTCTGTACATGACGATATTTCTTTCTATAAAGTGTTGAGAGACTTTTCATGTCCAGAGAATAGGAGAGAAAAAGGAAATCTATAACTATTTTAACTAAAAACAGCCAAACCACTATTAAATCAAAGAGTCAAAAGTTAAATAAGACAAATTTTATTCCAAATAGAAAAAATAAATGCTGCTGTAGCAGTATATTTTGCTTTCCTTCTCTTTTTTTAAAAAAAATCTACTTCAATTCCTTTACTTAAATAACATTTTTGAGTCCTCTCTTTGAGTTCTGTTTTGTTCCAGACATAATTTTTCATAAAGTCTTTGCTTTATTTTACTAAGTCGTTTTAGTCTTTTGAACTTGTTGGTCTAAGTTCACAAAGCTTTCCTTTCCTTGTCTTCTCATGACTAACTCAGCTCACCAGCTACCACATCTCTGACCAGCATCCTTACCTCTTGCACTTCCTTCTGTTTTTGCATTTCATCACCTTCTTACAGTTACTCAGTTCATACTAACTCTCACCACCAAGCTTTGGCTTTCTTAGCTATAGGGTTGCAAATCCCCATCATCTGTCATGTCTGTCATGGACAGAGTCAGCTAGATTAGCTTTTCTTTTCTTTTTTTTTCCTTTTTTCTTTTTTTTTTTTAATACCCTGAAAGGTTAGAAACGCTAGACTGGGGAGGAACCCAACCTCTCTGAAATAGTCCGAATGCCACTAAAAGCCTCATACAATGTAACTTGCTGTACAATTGCCACTTAAAATCATATGACTTTGCAAGTTTGTTCCTTTAGTATTTTTTTGCCTCTTTCTAGTATCGTCTACAGTGAGATCGCTGTCCATAGCAAGGGCTTGGTAATAGAAAAGCCGTTATGTGCCTACTTGTATTTGTCTTGTCTGGGATCCGTAGCTTGTTTTAATAGTTGTTTAAATAGTTTATATAGTTGTTTTGTGTGACTTTTTTTTCTGTAACAGAGATGAATTTGCATTTACTTAGTTTGTCAACTTTCCTTTATTTCAGTTAATAAATTATATTGTCTTAGATATGAATAAACAGGACTTTGTAGCCAGTCAACATGTAAAGCAAAAACAATAAAACAAAACAATAACAATAACAAAACAACAACAAAAACTGTTAATTTTGGTTAAGGACTTAGAAGGGCTTGTGATTTAGAGTAATGTGCACAGAACTGCAAGATGCAAGGTTGCAGGGGCAGATCTGGGTCACCAAATATAGCACAAGAGGTTTTGGGTAGGTATTGATCCAGATGAGATTTTTTTTTTCAATTAATATTATTTTTTTCCCCATCATGTGAACACCTTATTCAATACTGCCATGTATATGTCCAACAGAGTACCTGCTTTATTAGCAGCTTTTTAACTCGCACCTACAGTAATTTGGGGGAATCTTCACACTATCCTTTTTTTTTTTTTTAAAGATTTAATACTTGTTGTCCTTAAGTTCATATATAGTTCTCTGAGAAATAATAGAGATGCTGACTAAAGAGTAGTAGAGAATTATTTGTGTT